TCATGGAAGGCATGTGATCTAAGTGGTAAGGTAAGCCATCAGCTAGTCTTCCAGGAGCAGGAAAACTTGCAGGGCTGCTACAACTTGAAGGAAATCCACATAAAAGGAACAAAGGATACAGAGGGAGGGAAGAGGATTCTTCAAATCAGGAAGCCAGCTGGTTCCAGCAGATGTGTGTTACTTTACAAGCCAAGCTGTGTGTAAAGTTAATGAGTTACATCTTTCTGGATTTGAAAAAAACTGACTGGAAAGTGCTTCTTGGGGTATGATGTCAGTGTAAAAATTCTCTCTACTTTAGAAACCTAGGTTTCAATAAATGGCTCCGTCCCTCTAAGAGTTTTGCTTTTAAACAAAGACAAAAATATACTGACTCCTTTAATCTCTCTAGAATCCCTGTGTCAAAAAGGGAAATGTTGTAGTTTATAATTTAGTCTCCATTAGCTATTACTATAAGCTAGATGCATACTGAACAGATAGAAAGATAGATTTACATAAACGATCACTATACTATTCTAATCTCTGGTTTTAATTTAGCTTTTGAATTTTATTTCATGCACATGACATAATCATTTGGGGGGGGGATCTGAATGGATATTATCTCTTCCTTAAGAAAAAATTTTAAATCCCTTATTTGCAATATGACTGACCTGTAAAAAGGTAATGGATTTGAAGGATGTATGTCCAACTGTGCCATAAATATATTCACCACCTCCACAAGTTTCTTCTCATCTCCTTTTATATATTACTATTTTTTGTAAGAACACAACATATATCTACCTTTATAGCAATTAGTCAACGTGCATAGTTACCGAAGATGAGTAAGACCTAGAGGTTTACTTTATGGCAGAGTCTACAATTCATAATGCATTTTCTTAAAATTTTAAGAGGGCCCTCCCTGGTGGCTCAGTGGGCTAAAGCACAACACTGCAAGCTGTCTGCAGCCACTTCAGTACGAGTTCAATCCCCAACCCTGGAGGTGACCCACATGGTGCAGCAGACCTCTCCTGAAACACCCGCTGCTCCTCTCAGCAGTATAATTCATCTATCTGCTCCCCACTGTCTCTGGTGAATCCTCTCACCACCTCTGCACTTCTGGCCTGTACCCCAGTTCTGTATGCATAAATAAATAAATCTTTAAAAAAAATTTAAGTAAGGAAAAGCTGACTGAGGGGTGTGTTTAGTATAAACTTGCCTGAACTAGTGATAAATGACCAACATCTTATGATAATTGAGAAGCTTCTTGATCTCAGCCTTCAGCCTCTAATTCAATTGTCTCAAAATCTGGTGTCTAAAGTCCATTTTCACTTCTCTAAGTTCCACTTGTCACATTCTTTGAAGTTACCTTAAATTGTTTTGGAAGAGTACCATAATCTATCAATAAATAGAAGGACAGAGCACTGTTACTCTCAACATGAAGTTTAATGTAAACATGGGCACAGGAAGCCAGAGCCATTTCTAAAATTACTACCTTTTTTCCACTTGCAGTCCAACTTCTCAAAAATGCCTGGGTCCACTTGGCTCAAACCAAAAGAGAAGTTACAAGTCCTGATGTGATCCAAGGCAGGTTGAAACAAGGTGGTATGGGGGCAAAGGTCAGTTATCATTGGCCCATTCAAAAACCCAGTTCCAAATAACAATATTGCACACTAAAGATAATCTTTCCATGTAAGTATCTACTTGTACTTATAAAAATGTTTTCAATTCTTTCAAAAAACTATTTTTCTTCTATGTGATATGATTATAATTCAATCCATAGAGAAGGAACTGGTGGGAATATATTAACATTTCAATTCAGCTCAAAATAACTTAATTATTTTCTACTTTCTTTTCTATGCATAGATGCCTCCCCATGCAACCTATGTGTAAATAAAAGATTTTTATCTCATGCTGCAAATGATCTCCTACTGTAATTGGAAATCACTTTAATTAATCATCAGAAGAGACAGGCAGTAACCAAATTCTTGCTTTGCTGAGTGTTGCAAAAAGGACTCAAGCTTTTTGTAGGCACCATTAACTCTGCCTTATGAGGGTACTGTGAGAAATGGCACAGACTTCTTAAATGTCATGAAACACCAGAGACTACTGCTCAGCTTATATATCAACAATTAGCTTAAATAGAAACTTCTAACATATGGATAGCTTTCACCAAGGAAAGCACACTACTGAGAGCACTTTTGAAATACATTTGTGTAATTTAGATTTGGTAGTCATATTCCTACTTGCTATTTGTTGCTATTTGAATCACAGCTAAATACAAATAATACTGGGAAGTCTCACCAGGTATGTTTTAAGATTTATAAATCCTCTGACATCTCAAGATAACAAAACCATGTAAACTCAATGACCGTTAAAAATTTGCTGAAGCGAGTTCACTATTTTGTTTTTTAATCTTCTTCATAAGAACTACATCTGTAGATTTATTTTCTTCATAAGAACCACTTCTGTAGAAAGAGATTTTTCTGGCCCTCCCTGGTGGCACAACGAGTTAGGAGCAGCATTGCAAGCTGGCTGTAGCCACTTCAGTGCGAGTTCAATCCCCTGCCCTGGAGGTGACCCACATGGCGCCGCAGACCTCTCCTGACCCGCCCGCTGCTCCCCTTAGAGGTGTACTTCATCCATCTACCTGTTCTGCTCCCCACTATGTCTCTAGTGAAGCCTCTCACTGCCCCTGCACCTCTGGCTTGTACCCCAGTTCTGCATACATAAATAAATAAATCTTTAAAAAAGAGAGAGAGAGAGATTTTCTGCCTTTCTAGATAAGTCCATGGGTTCATAAGAAAACCACTTCTCTAAGATATGGTGTCATGTCAACCTCAACTGTCTCATGCAGTGTTGCAAGTACAGCTATCTGACAGATTCCCAACTCCAGAAATGAAACTACCTTTCCCACCCACATCCTGTCCTTTAGGTCTGAAAAATTTTAAAAAAGATAAAGAAGGGGGAAATATCAGAAACATCACAGCCCACAGAGATTCAATATCTCAAATATTTCCAATAACACTCTTCCTCTAAAGTAACTGACAATCAGTGTCTCAGACAATAGTCATAAATGACCACACAGGACTGAAAACACTGATCACCATCAACTATCTTATTAACAGAAAGGAAAAAAAATGTATCAAAAAAAAGTCAGCAAAACCTGGGAATTTGAGACTTTTGGGAAATACAAAGTATCAGATGTTTTTGAGCTGCCAGCATTATTCAGACAATGGCCTTCATCTGAAGTTCATAAGGTAAGCTAAGAATCCAGAATGGAGATCTTGAGAAGTGCAAAAGGCACCAAACATACTTAATGAAATACAAAACCATAAAGAGATTTCAGCACATTGCTTCTGCAGACTCTAAATTATAAACACCAGGGAAAATATAATTGCATAAAACTTTTATTATTTATTAGCAGTGTATTTTCTACACTTTAAAATATTGAACAAAATATCTTTCAGAAGGTAAACTATTCATAACAAAATACATGTCAAACAAATTTTATATTGGAGTAGAATTACTTTGCTTTATATTTTCTATTTTATATACATATACTTCCTGGTTTCTCTAAGTATGCACATGTGTATAAGTAATTTTAAGACATACACATGTAGATACATAGAACATATACACACATAATTACAAAACATTTACAGCAATCAATCTTACAATCATTTTAATAGCTGCACACAAATTAGTGTTCACAGAACTGAAACTTTGTCCATCTGGTCCTCTTTCCCACTTCTCAAATGTTATCTGAATTATTTTACTATTCTCTTTCTATACAATTAACCAATCATTTTTACAATAATTCATAATAAAATATTTCACTATTTCCACTTTAGAAAAAATATACAGCTTAATTCCGCTTACTGTAATTTTTCATTCCTAAAGCATACAATTCCTTTTATTTTAATCTGTTTAGTGCAATTATTTGGTGCTGCAGTTATTGATGGTTAAGTTAACCAACCTGAGTTAAACATTCATTCAAATGCCTTTCTGAAAAATGTAAAACATTAACCAGAGACTTGAAACATGAATAATAGTCTCAAGGTACCCCCTCCTAATCAATACATTATAAATAACTCAATAATTGAGAGTAAAACACGTCCTATGAATTCACCTGTCCGAGTGGTCCAATCTTAAGCAGCATGGAAAAGAATCATATTTGAGGCTCCTCATTTTTCCCAGAGAAATGAAACCCACAGGCTTCTGGAACCCTAAAGGTAAGATCACACTTAGGCGAAAGGGCTGTGAGTACCTGTAAGAAGTCGCCTCATTTTTAGGTTAGGTTTCTGTGTGTCTGCGATTGTAATCATCTTTAAACATAGCTCCTTGGATACAGAGAGCCACACAGCAGCGTTTTTCCTCCATTTTTTCCCTCTGAATTGATTTAAAACTGGTGTGAGACCGTGTGTGATTACAAGCAACAAAAACCTTGTACCAAAAGCAGAAAATCCTAATTGGGTTATGAATGCTTTTGAGTGGAGTTAGGAAATGAAACCATTTGGAATGTTGAGTCACTTCAAGGAGAAAAATCATGTTTTCAGGAGAAATATTCAGAGTTCTGATTCTCAATTGGATGTTAAATTTAGTCAAAGCCTCCAAGGATGCAAAACTAAATGGTTCATCAACAAAAACAAAGGGGTAGGAAATGGTTTAAATAAGCCATTGCAAATGATTATGTTCTTGTTAGAGATAAACTTGGATAAACATTTGAATTAGATTGACTTCCCACAAGAATGGACTGATCTGCCATATGTAGTGGGAACACAAAAACCACTTTCTTCCTTAACTTTCTCTTAATAAAGAGGGATTATTTATCCATTGTAGACAAAATTGTACTAAACAAATTGAAAATACAAATTTTTGGTAGCAAACAGCAAGAAAATCTAAGTCAAAATATAGTCTAGTTTTTACATCAGTTCATATATTTATAAATTTATCAAAATAAGTCATTTAAAGTCCACAATACATACATAATGTAACACTGTACATGTAAATGTAATAACAAATGTATTACTGAAAGACATTAAAAATAACCTTTCAAAATATCAGTTCAACATGAAAACTGGCTTAAAAAGTGTTGACATCACGATAAACATAATTTCAGTGCATTCAGAGTAGTCATTAAACAGAATTTTCTGATTTCAAGTCTCTTGAAGGTCTTAGTGCTCTCGTTAATTTAAAGGAAGAAGGCAGAGAGATTCTTCTAGCAAGCGGTTGCTTTTCCTCTGCATTCTGCATCAGATGAAGAAACTGTCTAAGAGTGGAACAGCTTCACCCCGGTGGCAAGGCCTTAGTAATGAACATATTCAGACTGAAGGGACTGTGCAGGAAAAACACAAGCTAAGGTTAAAGTCCATCCCATACAAGACTTTCAGAACATCATGCAGCTTCTTCCCACAACACAAAGCAGTTGGGATCTATTCTAAAATGAGGTAAACTAAGAAAATAATAAGAGATCAGGGAAATAACGCATTTACTAGTAAGGGTGAGATACTCAATTACACAAAGTGATTACAGGAAAATTTTGTATTTTCCTCTCTGTGCACAGAAGTTGGGTCTCAGTGCTCTCAAGCTATCAACACCCTGGCCAGGAAACCACATGGCCAGCAGACCTCTCCTCTCATACCCACTGCTCCCCTCAGCAGTGTATTTCAGTTAGACCTGCCTGTTCTGTGCCCCACTCTGTCTCTGGTGAATCCTTGCACCCACACATCTCTGGCCTACACACCAGTTCTTGTGTATAAATAAATAAAATAAATCTAAAAAAAAACTCACTATATTTTCGAAGACTGATTAATAGTGATTAAAATATAGTCATCAAAAATTGGGAAGTAGCTCTTAACTTGTTTCTAAAATTTTCTATGATAATAAGCTTTACTTAAAAATATAAAATGGGTCCTCCCTGGTGGTACAAGGGGTTAAATCTCAGCACTATGAAGCTATGGGCAGCCACTGCAGCAAGAGTTCGATCCCTGGCCAGGGAGCTAACCCACATGGCACAGCAGCGCCCTCCTGTTTCACCCGCTGCTCTGCTCAGCAGTGTGTTTCAGTTGATCCACCTGTTCTGTCCCCTACTCTCTCTCAGGTGAATTCTCACCCCCCATACCTTTGACCTGTACCCCAGCTCTTGCATGCATAAGTAAATAAATCTTTAAAAATAAATAAAAATATAAAAGGACATGTATAATTAAATTGAGAGTGCTAGAATGTATTCTGAGAAGATATAAGCTTGTTACTTAATTCAGTGCACAGTGAATGAATGGTAATGATCCTAATGAAGTGGAATTGACACTTGCTGAAATAACTCTCGGTAATGTTTTAATTTAATAGGTATTAATTCTTTTCATTGCAAGGGATACAAACACTATTAGTTTTCGAATTTGATCCAATAAGACCCAAAAGCATTTATGCAGAAGTGCTTTAAGAAAATTTTCAAGAAAAGTAAGCAGTGCAAGATCCTTCTACCTCTTGTTAGACAGTAATATATAAAAGGGGTGGGGTTGGGGTATGGAATCAGAATGTATCAATAAGAGACATAAACCAGGAAAAGGTAAACATTTCGAGAAAATGAGTATTTTTCAGTAGCAAATAGCATTTTGAAAGAAGAAACATAAATCAGCCTAAACATTAATATGTTTTACATAATTCTAATCAAATACCTGCCTAATTTGATGCCAAATGTTCTTTCCTCCTACCCCAGTAATTATTTTTCAAATTAATCTGCAGCATTTTATTAGAAAGTCTTACAAGTTTTTAGCAGGTCCATTTTGTTAATGATATATATATGAATATCAGCAGAAATGATCTATATCACCATGTACTACATTTCTATCATCACCATGAGTCAAAAAATTACGGTCACTACCCTGAAAGGGAAAAACACAGACATGAAACGGCAAAGGGGTCAATATTAAAAAATAATGTAGGTAGGCGAACAACGATGAAAAGCAGAGGATTAAGCAAAGGAAGGGAAAGGTGAGAGAAGGGACAGGGGTTCTGGAGCCAGTTTCAAGGAAGCAGATATTGTCAAGAGCTGATGGGAAGAACGGAGAAATCTTAGCAAGCTTTCTCACTATAAGTGGTGGCTTATGCCAAGGCTTCAAATGACAGTGACATCAAGAATTAGGGCACTAAATATAAATGCACCTGAACTCACAGACAGTATAAAAAAGGTCAGTCTCAGAACTAAGTTCAGGAAAATGGTTCAAAACCTTGAAATCCATACACATTTATTTCGTGGGTCATTTGTGACCATCCAAGCAACTAGAGCTTAAAAGTAGACTTTCACGGCCCTTCCTGGTGGCGCAGCAGGTTAAAGCACAGCACTGAGAAGCTAAAGCCACTTCACCATGAGTTCGAACCCCACCCACCCCCGGAAGTGACCACATGGCGTGGCAGACCTCTCCTGACCAACCCACTGCTCCCCTCAGCAGTGTACTTTGTCGATCTGCCTGTTCTGCTCCCCACTCTGTGCCTGGTGAATCCTCTCATTACCCCTGCACCTCTCTGGCCTGTACCCCAGTTCTGTAGGCACAAATAAATAAATCTTAAAAAAATAAGTAGACTTTCACTTTTCTAGGCATTTTATTTGCCACTTTCTTCCAGTTAGAAAGGTTATTTGCATTGTAGAACTGGTGAAATTCCTCAGATTGTTTGTATATTTAAAGTTGTTATAAACAAGCACCTTTAGAGTACTATCAATTCTTAGTAAACAGATAAAGCAATGAAACTTTCTAGGTTAAATCATTTATGAATGTGTTACATGGAAGGATAACTATCTGTGTGCACAAAGATTACTTATTTTATGAAATAATGATACCTACTGAACTGGAAGACACTTTTTTTTTTAAAGATTTATTTATTTATTCATACAGAACTGGGGTACAAGGCCAGAGATGCGGAGGGTGAGAGGATTCACCGGGGACAGAGTGGGGAGCAGAACTGGCAGATCGAGGAAGTACACTGCTGAGGGGAGCAGTGGGCGGTCAGGAGAGGTCTGCCTCGCCTTGTGTATCTCCTCCGGGGCAGGCCAGATCGAACTCATGCAGAAGTGGCTTAAGCTTCTTAGTGCAGTGCTTTAACCCACTGCACCACCAGGGAGGGCCTGGAAGACGTTTTTTAATCCCTCTTTCACCACCCAATTAGCTTTCACCACCAGTTCCATAGCTATAACACTCCCTGCTTTGTCACTTCTGTTAACAAATGAAGTCATAATTTGTCTAAATGAGGGCTAGTTAATCCATTTGATAAATACTTACTGAACATCAGTTGTAAATATTAGCTGTAGGATGGATAAAAATACAATACCTAATTTCACACAAAATAGAATCCCTGTTTTATTTTTAATATGGTGTAAAGAACGAGAAAGAACAGACTGGTAAAAGAGGTATAATAAATTATTCTGACCGTAGTATTTTGTACCATGTTTACTGCCTTTCATTCTCAATTTAAAATAAAAATCTTAGTAGTAGTGGACTTTGGGAAGAGCAAAAATGAGTCAAGTCTACCAATTAAGTCTAGTTAATCATAACTGATATTTCAAGGCCTTTTCATTCAGGACACAACTCTTGTGCTACAGGTGACATGGAAATTTCAAACACTATCTGCTACCTGGTGGAGATGTCAAGGGGGGTCTCCAGTTGGGTTGTCTTCCTAATAACCCTGAATTCTAAACTTACTAACAACCTCAGATAACACAATATTAACTTTTTTAATTTTTATAATAAAAATGCAAATGTATTGTGTACGCCATTAACAATATCACCATTGCTGTTGATGTTACTGCACAAAAAAAAGAGATTAACTGCAGCCCATCTGCGTGGAATTCTTAATAAACTAGATAAATTACTTGACAGGTGGTTAATTCTGTGACAGATACTTACTGAGTACTTTCTAGACACCAGGGACAGACCTAAACAGTATAGTGTCTTGCAAAGATCACAAAATTAGGATGGGGTAGAGCTGGAATTTGATTTTCAGCAAGCTGCCTATAAATCCCAAATGCTTAGTCTCCATACACCATAGGATAATGCCACAAGACACTTCAAGCATGTGTTCTGTGATAACTACAAACTCAACTGAACATTTTTTATCACCCTGACATAGACAAATAATAACCTGATGCAAAGAAATATTAAAGGCTGTGATGTATATTAATGTAAAAGGCATTTGTACATTTTTAAGTTATTTTCAACATGACTGAACCCACAGAATTTTCAGGAATACCATAAAGAGATATATTCTTTATAGAAACACCCACGTGTTAAGTATTCTGATTATTGATTGATTCTGTTTGGGCAATTTTTTTTATCATTACTGTGAGACTACCGAATGCATTTAAAATACAAAAACAATCTAACCAGCAATGAAAATGGTTATGATTATGCAGGAAATGAGACCTGCAATGTAAATATTAACTCCTAAGATAGTACTTATTTTTATGATCAAGAGATTTTAATTTCTCAAATAGAATATTCGAGTTCATGTGTTCAGGAAGTTGAACAGAGTGAAGTTATGACCAAATCAACTTTATCAAAAATATATGGTATTTTCATGGTATTCATATCATAAAACTAAACACATCAATATTCAACCTGTACAATAAAGATAAAATTACCTTACACTTGCAGCCCCCAAAATTTTATGTCAAAATATAAGCTTCCATCAAGAAGTCTTATTCTCTGAAAGCAGTTAGATTTGACATAAAACAAAGTGTTAGGTAAGGAGATCAAGACAATTTGTTCTGTTCTGGAAATTTGCTATAATCTGTTTTGGCAGCTGTAGGTAGTGACTTTAAAAATTTAGCTATTCTGGAGGTGTTTCTTTTTTAAACAGCCCAGTTACCTAATCATGGCAGAGAAATGTCTAATAATTATAGCTATCCTGTACCAATGGTTAATAAATATACTATAAGTTGGCTATCAGAAACAGTGAATTATAAAGAAGAATGCCATTTAAGGTCTGTGCCAGCAAATGAATAAAACAACATCTTAAGGTTCAAGCAACTTGAACCAAAGGACCCAATAGCATGGTATATTTCCTACTGACTCAGAATCCCTGTAGTGCTTTTCCACATTTTACCAATAGCCAAGTAAGAAAAATTAATCTACTAATTCAGCTTGTTTCAAGCTCTAACTATATCACAGGACTTACAATAACATTTCCATTTGCTGTGTTGCTTGTAAGTTAACAACACGTAAACTGTGTGCATTCCTATATATTTCACAAAGATGGTTTCACAAGCCTGAAAGTATTTGCCTTTGATAACATAATAAAACTCTTCCAATAACATAAGCAGAAACATGGCTGGAAAAGATTTTT